TCCCAAGAAGCAATTTGCTTTAGACCAGGGGTGGGAAAACTGGTGGATCCGGCTGGTGGCTGGGTGCCAATTCCCAGCAGCCCCTGCCCGTGTCACCATGGCAGGTTTCCATGCTGACCCGAGCAGTGGTGGTGCCATGGCAGCCTAGGGTCAGGGTTGCCATGGAGACCGGCCCCAGCAGCACTAGTAGGGCACAGCAGGGCAGGGGCTGTTCCACTGTCAAGGCCGAAATCCTGCAGTGGTGACAGCGTGACCCAGAGCCAGGGCAGGCCGCAATCCGCTGCCATGCCCCTGCCCGGGGTGTGCGGGCAGTGGATCACAGCTCTGCCCCAGCTCCAATCTGTGCTGTCACTGCAGCAAGATCCTAGCCCAGGAGCAGCTCCCTGCACTGCTGTGTGCCCTGCTAGTGCTGCTGGGGCCAGACTCCACGGAAACCCTGGCTCTATGTTGTCATGGCGCTGCTGCTTCTGGGGTCTCCATGGAAACTGACTGCAGCAACACAGGCAGGGGCTGCTGGGAAATGGAGTCCATAATGGGCCCAATCCAGCCTGCTTTCGACGCACCTGAGCCCTGAAAATCCTCAGCCTCTGATCTACCTGTGAATTGGTAAAGGAAGCTTTACACATTTTCCTCTCCACATCTTTCCTAGTAACACCCCTGGCCCTTCCCCAACCCCCCAAGCAACCTCCCTAAAAACTTGCATAAGCCCAGGCAAATTAGGAAGAGCCCCAGCTTCAGCATGAAGCACAAAGCAGTTTTAATTGTGGCTTCACAGTCACACCAGCCAGTGTATGGGGAAGATCCTAAGGAGGAAGATCTCCTTGGATCCTTGATCATCAGAAAATAAGGCTGGAAGGGACATCACAAGAACATCTAGTCTAGCCCCTTGCTCAAGGCAGGATCATTCCTGACTAAACCATCCCAGACAAGTCCATCTAACCCAAGGGCGGGCAATTATTTCAGGAGGAGGGCTGCTTAGTGAGTTTTGGCAAGCCAGCAAGGGCCACGTGACAGGCAGCCAGGAGCAGATAAATATTAATTTTCTAAATTTTTCACAGGCCGCATTTTGCCCACCCCAGTCTAACCTGTTCTTCAAAACTTCCAAAGAAGGAGATTCCCCTGCTTCTGTAGATAGCCTGTTGCAACGCTTTATCACCCTTGTAGTCAGAAAACTCCTCTGAAACTCCTGCTTAAATTACCTCTGCTGCAGTCAAGTCCATTGTTCCTAGTCCTGTCCCCTACAGCCACTGAGAAACGCCTACCTCCGTCCCCTCTATAATGACCTTTTGGGTATTTGAAAACTGTTATCAAACCCCTCTTCAGTCTTTTGCAGAATCAGCTCTTCTAGCCTTTTTGTGCAAGTCTTGTTTCCCAGGCCCCTAATCATTTTTGTTGCTTTGCTTTATATTCTTTCCAAACTGTCCACAACTTTATTGAAGCGTGGGGCCCAAAACTGGACACAGTGCTCCAAGTGAAGCCTCCAGCACTGAACAGAGCAGAAGAACCTCTTCCCTTGATTTGCAAGTGACACTCCTATTGATGCAGCTCAGGATGCTGTTGGCTTTTTTTGCAACAGGAACATGAGGTTGGCTCATATTCAACTTATGATCCACTGTAATTCCCAGGGCCTTTTCCGCAGTATTGCAGTGAGTAATGGATGTTACCTGCACGAGGAAGATGCTGGCTAAACTGAACTCACTCAGCTCCCTCTTGACAACACTCAGTCTTCAATAAGTGAATCATCACAAGCCACATTATCATCAAATCTGCATTAACCAGTAACAAACCATGACTAGATTGATTGCAGGCCATGCATTTTCAGGGATGAAGCCTACAGACCATTTATTTAGAGACATACTAGTCAGCCATGTTAGTCTGAAGTCAAGGAGGAGACAGGATACACTTGCACCTTGTGGGGGCCCAGCCCACAGGTTGGATCCAGCCCTGGCACCATGTCACATAACCCACAGGGATCCCTACACATCTGTGGGAAGCCCAGCAGGCCATAGCCCTGCGTGCTAGGTCAGGCACACAGGGCAGCATGTCCCTCCCCACCCTCTCCTGACCTGGGATCAGAAAGGGGCAGCGTGGGGCCTGATCCTGAAGTGCAAGGTCTAATTCAGCCCACAGTCCAGCCCCATGCCTGGCCAAAAGGTGGAGCAGCACTGCTATAGATTAACCCAGCAGGGACTGTGAGTGCTGAAAGGAGCATTACTGGGAGCAGTGCATGTTTGCATAGCTTGCCACTGCACCGCCCCTGTGGCACTCAGGCAGATGGGGCATACACTGAGCCGGCCCCTATTAGGCCATGTATAGGGTGACATTTGGGGGTAACGGGGCAGGTGGGCATTCCCTGCCCTGTCAGGCACAGGCAAGCTCCAAGGCAGGGCTCCTGCCTACAGTCCCAGGGCAGGGGTCCTCTACCCATGTGTGTCCTAGGGTGGGCAGGGATGGGGGTGCTGTTCTGCCAGACTGTGTCAGGGTTGACCAATCTAACATAGACTTAGATGATGGTTTGGCTTGGTTTGGTTTGGAGGGGGATGATCCTGCCTCAGGCAGCAGGTTGGCCCAAACAGGGTTTGAATTATAGAGAAACTGGGGGAGGTTGAGACCCCCCATAAGAGATGAGAGCCCCTCTGTAAGATTTGAAAATCATAATTTGGGGGTCTCCAATTTTGTTAGGGCATTGTAACAAGCAGCCCAATTTTTTTGGCAGACCCCCCCCCCCACTGAGAATCAAAGTATAACTTGAACCCTGGGCCTAGACAACTATGAAGGTCCCTTCCAGCCCCACTACTCTATGAGGGAGTTACACATAACATTGCCAGATCTTAAATGTGAAATTATTGCATTGGAAACTCAAAATGATCGTATCTGCTGAAAAGCTATCATAACCCTGAATACTGATGCAAATAAAGTATGCAAATAAGCAGGAGGAGCCTTAGGGGAGGGCAAACTGCCCAGGGCCCCACACTTTAGGGGGCCCCAAAATTTTGCAACAATTTTTGGGGGGGTTCTTTTGCAAGGAAGTGGCTTTATTTGCATTTTAACACTCAACTATTTATCTAATCCCCCCCCCAAATATTAAAAACATCCACGGTACAACTGTGGCGGGTTCATATCTAACGGAGTACCTCTAAGGGGCCCCAAATGACTCTCTTGCCCAACAACACTAAGGCCACCACTGTAAATAAGTCTTATTTATTTTACATTGCTCATATAAGCAGCCAGTGAGTGAGAACTGGCTCATCCAAATTGAAGCATTTCTTTATTTTGAGGCGAGCCCAGAAGTCGGCTAAGACTCTTGAGAGTGAGTCGGGTGTTGCTGCTTCAATTCGCTGTCTCAAAAACGATCCTACATTTTGCTGGGTTTTCTGGTGGTTGCCGTGTCACTCAAAGGACATAGGCAGGCAAGGCTCTTTGAGTAGATGTGATCTTTTTTATTAGACCAAGTGAGCGGTGCATTTTGTCAGGTATCCAGGTTGTAGCTGTATCAGTCTAGAGGAAGGATGGGCAAAATGCGGCCCGCAGGCTGGATATGGCTCACTAAGCCATTCTATCCAGCCTGCGGGGCCCCTAAAAAATTTACAAAGTATTTATCTGCCCCTGGCTGCATGTCATGCAGCTCTCGATGGCTTGCCAAAACTCAGGAAGTGGCCCTTAATTGCCTGCCCCGGTCTAGACGAAAAGGCAACCAGGTCTTGTAGTAGAGATAATCTCGTTTATTAGACCCACCAGATTTTTACAAAAAAAGAAAAAAAATATTTAACGGCAAGCTTTCCGGCACAAGCACCCTGCATCAGGCATCGGAGAAAAGATTGTACAAGTTCTCCCAGGTAGCCATGAACGTTCCTATTTCATTGGATTTCACAGAGGAGTCAATAGATTTTTTTTGTTTTTTTGCAAAAATCTGGTGGGTCTAATAAAAGAGATCATCTCTACTACAAGTCTGCATCGTCTAGTGCGTTTTGAACACTTTTACTATTTTGGCTAATGCAAGGATTCAAATCAGGGTGTGCTTAGCACGACTGCCCACACCCACTGGCCCTGAAGCAGCCACTACCCTTCCCCTTCCCTTCCCCCACTCCCTGCAGGCTCACAGCCGCACGCGCATACGCCCCCACGACCCGGCGGGGCGGAGCGAACCGCGCAGACGCAGTGAGGGGCCAGGGTGATGTAATAGCTCCGCGGCCTTCTCCAACATCCGGGTCCCGCCGTCCGCTGCGCCCAGCGCCCGCCGGGGCTTTACCCCC